GGTCACGGCCGACAAATGGTCTTCCAATGTCAGCCGTGGATCCAGGAGGACTCCCAAGTTGCGAGCCCTCTCTGAGGGGGCCAAAATTTCGCCCCCTATAGTCAGCGATGGAGTCAGCTGACTATGCCGAGGCGCCGGCAGCCACAGCCACTCGGTCTTGGAGGGGTTGAGCCTGAGTCTGTTCCTCCCCATCCAGATAGCAAGGAACAGAAGTAAACGTAGATGATCACAGTGTATGGATTATAGATGTAGGGAAAGATAGTGTATTTGATTACAACTGACATTGAACACAAGAAAGGGAAGACACAAAGCTCTGCATGCTTATAGATGAGCTAATCCCCCAGAATGGCTTTCTTGATACATTGAATGACAGTGCCTAAATTTAAACCCAAGTGTGTCTATGATGTTGCCACCATTCTTGCTTCTCAGCATGTCAGCGCACTAGGGGGAGGAGAGGGGGAAATGGAATGCAGGCTCCAGACAACAAGAAATCAGCCCATGTGAACCAAGGACGTTTCAGCAGGTATCTGTTTACCCACCGAGACACTTTCTCATAACAATATTTTGACACTCGATTGGACAATGTGACCTGCATTAATAGGGGGAAGGAGAATTCTATATTTTAATTAAGTTTGCACAGGAAATAACCAGAACTGGCTTTGATTTCATCTGTGCCGAAATGATGTACTCAATAAAGTTTTGCATTAAAACATTAGATCGTCTCAATGGTGCTTGCTCAGTTGGGTTCGTCAGTTGGAACCTTGACACCAAGATTTCCAGGATTCTGAGAAAGAAGGTTCCCATTCAATGCACTACCAACACCAACAGGAACAGAGCAGCTACATTTAAGGCATAACCAGACTTGTATCTTGTGCAGTGTAAGCTCGGGCTTGACCTGACAGGCTGTCCAGGAAAGAGGAGTGAGGCAAGAACAAGAGAGGACCAATAAAAGATAAACAACTGCCCAAAGTCAAATAATTTCCCATCTCTTTGCCTGGCTATCGTGGTGTTTTTCTAGTTATAAGGATATAGTCAGAAATATATTTCATCAGATTTAGGTCCAGATCTAATTTTACTTTCTTATAGGAGTACTGGAGGAAAATCCACTTAATGCAAGATGGCTACAATGCAATTTTGCTTTAGGGAAACAGGAACCAGGGAGGGAATTAGATTAAGTGGGGAGCTCACAACATTCATTTCTCCCAAACTGTAGGCAGCAGGCACTAAACATGCCACATAAAAGAGGGGTGCAGTGACACTGCTGATCAAATTCAAGCTCTGCAGTACATTGCTAATAAACATATCGCTGTTTCCTAGTGTATTAAAAGTCCTTGTCTTGAATTGGGGAATTGCACAGTTAAATTAACAGTCATCCAACCTCTAGTTGAGCAGCTCTTAGGTGGAGATTTTACTGACAGGACAAGATAAATGATCTAGTCCCAGAATATAGGTGTACAATTTCAGTATCCTCCTCCATGCAACAATTTCCTTAGATGTATTTTAGTCTAAACATGGGAAATGAAATACCACATAGAATAGAATAGAATAGAATAGAATAGAATAGAATAGAATAGAATAGAATAGAATAGAATAGAATAGACAGAGTTGTAAGGGACCTTGTAGGTCATCTAGTTCAACCTCCCACCCAAGCAGGAGACCCTACACCATTTCTGACAGATGGCTGTCCAGTCTCTTCTTGAAAGCCTCCAGTGATGAAGCTCCCACAACTTCTGAAGGCAGTCTGTTCCACTGGTTGATTGTTCTCTGTCAGAAAATTTCTCCTTATTTCCAGGTTGAATCTCTCCTTGATCAGTTTCCATTTGTTATTCCTTGTCTGTTCTTCAGGTGCTTTGGAAAATAGATTGAACCCCTCTCCTCTCTGTGACAGCCCCTCAAATATTGGAACACTGTTATCATGTCTCTCCTGGTCCTTCTCTTCACTAGACTAGCCATGCCCAGTTCCTGTAACCATTCTTCATATGCTTTAGCTTCCAAGGGAAGATGATTTTGATTGTTTCTAAACTGAACACCACACATAGCTATCTCTCAAAGGTTTTGAAAACCTATAGTAAACATTAAAGCTGCTTTCTCTCCAGGCGGATTATGGCCACATACCTTAGCTCTGTTCCTTCATCCAAAGGACAGGGATGTGTGGTAGAATCCTTGTTGTTCCTCTCAGCTCCAAATGAGGGATCAGACTGAGGCTGCCTTCCATAAAATTATCAATATGTGTCAGATCAATATGAGCTAAGATTTTGAAGTTGTACAAGCAAAATAGTTACAAACCATCCAAATGAACAAATGCCATCCAAATGCCATCCAATCCCAATTCGGCTGTACTGGCAGATAAGAAGTCCTTTTTGTATTAAGCAAGAGCACGTTATCAATCATGGATTTAAATATTGGTGTGAACAGGTTTGATGGTATGTCAGCAAAAAGCCCCTGCCTCTCATTTATAACATCTTCTGGCAACACCAACTGGACACTCCTTATCTAGTAGGGCATTACAAATAGTTGCAAGCAATTAAAAATAAAAGAATACAAAAAAAATGTTGCCTGGGAGCAATCAAGAGCAGTTGTCAGACTGAGTGCCCAGGATAAATTTTGGAGACTTGCGGCAACAGGAATTTCCTGGGCTTGAGTGAAATGATTGGCAACCAATGGTGGTTTCAGAAGGAGGCAAACTAATTAGGCAAATCAAACCTAGAAAGGTGCCATAAGAGGATTAATGCAATTTGAATTCATAGAGGATCATTTACCTAGTGGGGAAACTATCCCAGTTTCACTCTTCATTTACAGTGTAAAATCAGGTGTAAACAGTGTGTGTGCTTGTCTATAATAATGATAATAAATCTTTATCGATTAGCCCTTGGGCCATATCAAAGTGCAAAGTTCCAGCAATAAATCATTACCAAAGTCTGATAAAAATAATTTAAAATAAAATTTGATAAAATACAGTTTAAAATGGAACTAGAGTAAAATATGACTTAAGATGAAATTGGAGTAAAATACAATCTAAAATGAAATTAAAATAGAGTACAGTAATTTAAAATATAGATAAAATATGATAAAATTATATCTTGGAGTCACCCTTGCAATCTACCCCAATCAGTCCCACATATGCAGATCTCAACCGAACCCTTTTGTTTAAATACTGTGCTGCGTTAAATGTTATTTTCAAGTTCTGGCCGCACATGAGGTAAGTTGTTTTGATATGGGGATCCCAATGAGTCATCCGTTTGGTATATAGACCGAGGTACCTGTCTCTCACCCTCTTGTACAGGCAACAATCAAATAGTATGTGAGCCAGGTCTTCTACCTCTGCCGCTCCGCAAATGCAGAGACGCTCATTGTAAGGTATAGAACGGAATCTCCCATACCTGACCATTGTGTCAAGCTGTTCGAACCTTGCTCGCTTAAATACCTCCCTAAGGTGTTTTGGCAGTTGTAACTTCAAATAGCTGTCCACTTGAAAAGTACGCTTCTATTTACTCAGCCATTTCAAGTTACCCACCTTACTAAGGATCGCTATATCATTTTGTGCTTCTATATCCTTAATTCTTTGGGCAGCCCTTTTTTTTTAAATTGTTCTCCTATTACGCAAGAGACAGGAAGACCACAGCTTCTTACAAAATTTGTTAGTTTGGTGATCCAGGAGATTTGTGATTGTAATTTTATTTGCTCTAGTAGACATAACTTGGGGAGTCCATTTCATTTGCCTATAATTGTCAGCATTTCCACAAAGGTAAAATAACTAAGTCTTATCAGCAAGTATTGGACACGAGCCCTATTAGCTTATTTTACAGGTTTTAGTGCTTATGCTAGAAGTTCCTAGAAATGGCAGAGGGGGGAAATACCTTGACAGATGACCAGAATGGCCTTAGATCAAACCAGTCCTTGTGTGATCTGAACTCCATCTTTTACAATTTGATCCTAAAGTAACTTTGTCAATTGCTTCCACAGGATTTCATAGAAGGCTTTTGACTCTAGGGAAATCCTTTGGCAGAAACTCAAAATTTCCTCAACGAGTTGAGCAAGGCTAACACTTATGACGGTACCTAATTTG